GTCAGCACTCTCTGATTGTCCGCTGGGGTTGTGCAGGGCGATGGTGTCGGTTCAGGTCAGCACTCTCTGATTGTCCGCTGGGGTTGTGCAGGGCGGTAGTGTCGGTGGCCTTACCTGGGGAGTGGCCCAGCCTGAAGAGGGAGCTGAGTTTAGGGAGAACCAAGACTGTGCTCCAGGCAAGAATATGAAGCTGACTAGAATGTGCCTATAAATCTACACGGAAACACACGGGATGGTAAAAGACCAACAAATGCACCCAGACATGATCAACTAGACAGGTCTCCAGATAGTCACACAGTGAGGCCACAGGAGGAAGTTCTTGGGAAAGGATCACAGAGGCTCAACACCTATGAGCATATGAGCATATAAAATAATAGTTATCAACATGAACTCTAAGAAATGATGTTTTTGTTTTCTTTTCCTTTTGTCCCGTTAGTTCATTTATCTGTCTCTGGGAGGGCAAGGGGGCACAGAAATGGAGGGACAAAGGGCAAACAGATGCAGCAGTGATGCTCTTGAGATGCAATGTTGAAAATGAACTGTACAACCTGTGGTGAGGACAGGAGGGAAAACCTGGGAGAGATCTATGGGAGGAGAGGCACTTTTCACAAAGAAGTGCACTCGTTACCTGGCTATGTAATGGTCACCCATCATCACCTTTACAATAACAGCGGATACATAGATTTAAAAAGTGAAGTTGGATGGAATGTACTTGTGACTGTCAGACTCTGCGGGAGGCAGAGTGAGGAGAGGTTAGGGTTCCGAGGCACAGGGACAAACGGGAGCCCAGGGGCTGGTTGGCATCGTGCTTCCCCTCGTCTGCGAAAACAGTTTCACAAACGTTCTTTCTTTAGGAACGGACTTGGCCCTGTGAAAGAGGGTGAAGCCCAGTATGCTGTGGTCCACTGCACAGGGTACATCAAGGCCTGGCCGCCGGCAGGTGAGAGAATGGCAGGTGTGAGAATGGCAGGTGTATTCCCAGGAGGCTGACTGCTGCTTACATCTGACCAAAGGATGTGTGCTCCTAGGAGAGGCCAGAAATGACTCTTATTTTCTGTGGTAGTTAGAACTTAATCATCTTTGTCAGTGGAAAAAATCCTGCTGCCTGAAGCTAAGATTTCCAAAAAGAGCCTACCTAATGCCACTTCTTCTGTGGCTAATGTTTCCTGATGTTCTAAGCACACATAACACTGTCCTGTGCCTACTGCTGAGAACCCTGCAGACCAAGGACACATTGTGTTCATCTTCCTACCCCAGTCGGTAGCTCAAACTGGACACACAGTATGTATCCAGGAAGACCAGACAATGGATGCATGCATAGACTGACAAAGCAAAGACAAGACCTAGGAAAAGGATGGAGGAAAAGAGGGTCTCTTGCCCTGACTAAAGAAACGGTCGACCAAGAGGGGTGGCTAGGTGAAGGGATTTGTCGCCAGAATTTCTGAGGAGTTTGTAGAGTCTCCTTTCCCAGAGAGAGATCTTTTTAAATGGCTGAGACATTCATCTGGCCTAGATGAGGTGGGTGAAATAAAGTCATAGCCCTCTCATGCCTGACAAGGGAAAGAGAGCCGTGAATGGCTGGAAGGCTTCTCCTTAGTCAGCACTTGCCAAGGGTCTGTGAAAATGGAACACTTGTTTCTCTGAAATAGTTCTAGCTGCAGATGTCCAAGAACCTCGTACTCTGAGAGGATCCAGAGGCCAGTCCCTCTGCACTTAAAGGAAGACTCTTTTCAGACTGGTAAACAAGGTTGCTTTAGCCATTTCCTTCCTACCCTGAGTACTGGTTTTCAGTGCTGAATAAGTGTAACTTATCGCCTCTCTCCTTCTGAGCCTTGTAAGCCCTTACTTTCCTCTACAAGGCAAACCACAGGCTGTCTTCTCTTACAGACTTGTAGGCACTCTTTACCGCCAGTAGTTCTTTGGCTTTTTCCCCCTCCCTTTTTCTTTTGCCTCTGATGGCATTTTTTTATTCTCTGTCAACAGGAAACTAAAATGTTTATAGGACTTGGAAGAACCACTTAGGCTTCCTAACTAAATGTTTGGACAAAATTGTGAAAACATAGATGAACAACTTTAATGACATCTTCCTTCCTTGTTTCTGCATCTTTCACAGATGCAATGAGGGTGACCTCGGAACTGTTGAAAGACCTCCAGCAGAGAGAGGAGCAGGAAGTGGGTGCGGGCTGTTGAGGTCATCAGCTAGCTTCCCTCCCAGGACAGCCACAGGGAATCTGGGGTTTGGTTGCACAAACTTAATTATGAGCACCTCCCTTCTTCTCCACTTGGTTTGGGCAATCTGATGAGGCCAGCGTCTCTCGTTATAGGAATGGCCATCCCTGATGAAGATGCTGATGTGGGACAAGGCAGTAAATACTGCCTCGTGGCAATTGGGAGGCTCCAGGTAAGGTAGCCCTTCTGGGTCTTTCCATCTCAAATTCAGCCTTCTGATGGCTAAGGGCAAGGAATGTAGATTGGATGCCCGTGGGCTCAGTAGTCATTGGGATTTGTGCGTCACTCTGGGATAGGCTGAGCCAGATGATGAGCGGTTGGCAGTGGAGGTCTTCCTGCCCTGGTGCTCTTATGAGTCCACCACTGTCTCAGGTGGTTACTGCAGTCCAGTTTGTCCCCAGCACATCCCAGCTCACCCAGCGGAGTGGCTCCCCAGGCCCCCCTGCAACAGCGTCAATGGCGTCCACCCTCCTTCCCTTGTCACCACACCCTGTCCCCAAACCACTGTTCCCCGGCTTAACCCGCACTTCCCGACCTACATGGGCAGGGAATGTTTCTTTTCCTGTCATTTATTTGTCCTTCTTTTAAACTTCCTTTTCCTCCGGTGTACTTTTACCTACTTATTCTTCAAGACTCATCAAAAATAACTTCCCATGTTTTAATCAAAGTCACTGACCCCCTTCCGCTGGCCCTCCTCTCTGTGTTTGCCATAGCTGATGGAGTGTTTGCTCATTCCCTACAAGGCCCTCAAGTCTGGAGTGGGCCTCTTGTGTCCTGTGGAGACCCAATACATTCAGTATCTGATACATGCAGTTTACTGAATCATTCTGTGTTTTCCTTGTGACTTGGAGAACCTTCCCCAGACTGACAAGTGGAATAGAATGAACAGTCCAGTCTTCCACTCCTGCCTTCCCATGCTTGACCATTTTTAAATGCATGAACAAGCAATCCCATTAATGTAAGACAGCTTCTAGGTAGTCCTCACTGATGGGTGAAATAAGAATATTTGGACCAGGGAGCAGGTATTCAAAAGTTGTGGGGGTGGGGGTCACAGGGGAAGGGACAGATGAATGAAGAGGAGAGGGCTAGAATGCAGTCACCAAGCTTACGTATATCCTGCAAAGTTAAGGAGAGTGAGGGGTGGGTAGGAGAGGAATAGGTAAGAATCTTGAAAAGGTTAACATTGATCAGGATACATTGTATTCATAAACTGCTTTGTTAAGTGGCAACTCCTTTGTACAACTACTTAAAGGGAAGAAAAGCATATTTGGGTAAATTTTGTCTGAAAACCTATGCTTTCCAAATATTTTAACCAGTTACATCAGCTCATTTGCCACTTTTAGTGAAAGGAAAGGCAAGAGAAGGGGAGGGTATAAAATGCTTTGAGCACCAACGATTTGCCAGGCACGGTGACAAGCTTTTAACAACCACTCTATGAAGTTATAGGTCCCATTATTCCCATTAGCTAGAAATGTAAATTTTTCAGTGGCCCATCCACGGGAGCTTCCAGAACACTTGGAAGCTCTCCGACACCCTCTGGCCCGTGACCCAGAAGGTCAAGCCACATGCATGAGTCCCGTTCTCTGCCTGTGGCGTGTCTCGGTCCACGCTCAGCTGTGGGCTCCCTGTTCCAGGTGACCAGCTCTCCTGTGTGCATGGATATGAACGGGATGTCGGTGCCCACAGAGTTCTTGTCCCGGCATAACTCTGATGGGATCATCACGTTTGTGGATCCAAGATGTATTAGCGTGATTGGCTACCAACCCCAGGTAAGTAGGTAATTTCAAGCTCTTGGCAGTTGGTTAGAGACTTAGCTTTTCTTAAAATGTTTTTATCTCCTTTGAGACATGATACAGTAACATTGTGATGACACATGATAAAGGTCCAGGTGCTTGGAGAGAGTGACACCTCTCCAAAGCAACAAAGTTCACTGTAAACATCTGCACTACTGCAGATTAACTTGCTATCTTTATTCCTAACCATTCTGGCTCTCCAGCATTCAGGTCAATCAATCTTAATCACCAAGTTTGCCAGCATGAAGCAGTCTGCAGAATCTTATTAAGATGCCCACTGGATTTTCGCCAATCCCCTTTTTACACTGAGGCACCTTTTCAGGTCTTTGTTGCAGATTCGTTTTAGCAATTTGGTGACCTGAGAAACAGGAAAAGGCAGGAGTAGTTAGTACCAAGAAGCCGAAACAGGGACGCACAGCAGGATTGCTGGGCTGTCCCAGGCTTGACGCCACCGAGCTAGGAAGACCCTTAGGAGGCAAGCTGAACATCAACAAGGATGGACTATTGGGTGAACCTACCACACAAGGATTGGTTTTCTTAGGTATAGCACTGTACATTGCAGTTTTGTAAGACTGCATCATTTTTGTGAAATGCATGTTAAAATATTTTGGGTAGAAGTGCTACGATCACTGCAACTAACAGCCAAGTGGTCAGCAAGAAACCTGTTGAGTGTGTGTGGACATGTGAGCGTACACGCTTACATGCGTGAGAAAAACATGGACGCTGCACAACACACGCTTACACGCGTGAGAAAAACATGGACGCTGCACAACATACACTTACATGCGTGGAGAGCAATAGAATGCCAGCATGACAAATGCAGACAGTTCTTCATTCTACACAAAGAACATGCAAGTATTTATTATACTTTAGGTCTGTAGAGACCTAAATTTGGGGGCAATTTTTAAAAAAGCTTTTAAAAAAAGAAAAAGATCTGTATTCTGAGGAACAAACTTTGAGGAATGCTGATATGAATGTTTTAATTACATATATATTTTCATTTTATTTATTTTTTGACTGTGCTGGGATTCAAACAGAGAACAGTGCACATACTAAGTATCTGTTCTACAACTAAGATATACCCAGTCCTACATATATGTTTCACACTAGAAACAATCCAGACCCGTACTGTTAGAGCCCTTTATCCTACATTTCTAGTCATGCAAATCTTGAGGATTCTAGGATGGAGTAAGGGGAAGTTGATGTGTTGGCGCTGTATTGCCAGTCAGACTCTCCCTGAGTGTCTGGGTGCTGTGGACATGTTCGAGTCTGGGTGCCATGGACATGTTTGTGTCTGGGTGCTCTGGACATGTTCATGGGACTTCCCTTTGCTGTTGGGTCAGCTTACACTTGGACAGAGTGTGCTTCTGCGGGCTCCAGTGACAAGTTAAAATATATCTTTACTGTCCAACACTCTGAGTGGACCACTTCCCCGTCACACACGAAGCTGCCCTTTCACAGTCTCTGTTGCCGCTAGCATTGTGAAACACCTTTGTTTTGGGGTACGGTTAAGTAAAGCATTAGATTAGTGCAGGTAGATAGCAAACAGGCTTTCCATACTATGGTTATTTGATGACAACCTCATTTCCTCAGCTGTCAGACAGCTAGTTTCCACATTTAAACAATTTCAATTTTCATAGGCCACACATCTGTCCACATGCAATGCTTGGGCTTTCTTTTGATGTTTATTAAAATATATCTATTGCAGTTTGCCTCTCCAAGGCAAACAAAAATAAAATTGCATTCTGAAACCGCTGATCCTAGTGGCTTAGCAAAATTAGTAACTGTTAGGGAATGTGAGTAGAAGAAGCCAGCACTGTGGTGACTCCCAGGGACAACCAGTGGGCTTTGCTTTATTAAAAATGTGTGATGGGATTGGGGCTGGGAAGGTAGAGTGCTTGCCTTGCATGTATGAGGCCCTGGGTTCCATTCGTCAGCACCACAGAAGCAGACAAAGCCGGAAGTGGGGCTGAGGCTCAAGTGGTACAGCACTAGCCTTCAGCTGAAGAGCTGAGGGACAGCGCCCAGGCCCAGAGTTCAGGCTCCATGACTGACCAAAAAAATAAATTAAATTAAAATTTAAAATGTGTGATGGGAGCTGGGCTGCTGGAGGCTTATACCTGTAATCCTAGCTACTCAGGCTAAAATCTGAGAATTAGGGTTTGAAGCCAGCTGTGTCTCAAGTGGTAGAGCACTGTCTTGAGGACAAAAGCTCAGGGACAGTGCCTAGGCCCTGAGTTCAAGCTCCAGGCCTGGAACACACACAAAAAACTTGTGGTGGAGCCGGGCGCTGGTGGCTCACGCCTGTAATCCTAGCTACTCAGGAGGCTGAGATCTGAGGATCGCGGTTCAAAGCCAGCCCGGGCAGGAGAGACC